TTTTTAATGGTAAAAATAAAAAGATGAATAGGTATATGCAAACGCACAACAGTACAAACTATTTTTTAGAATTATAGAAAAATTGTTATAAAAGTAAAGACTAAAATATTATGACAATATGACGCAATCATATAATAAATTAACAGCAATAAACGAGTTTTTCAAAAAAAACATAACTATATAATTAAAAAAAATTTACCTAGAATAACCTTATCGTTTTTTTTATTACTGAAATAACATATTCTGGATTTTTTTTCTTTCGTAATACCAAAATTATTCTTGACAGATTCTGCCAAGGTATTGACAGACTCTGCCGAAACATTGGCAGACTCTACCGAAACATTGGCAGACTCTGCCAAACATTGGTACTCTACCAATGTTTTGACAGAGTCTGCGTATTTCTAGATATTTGCAGAGTCTGCCAATACATCGGTAGAGTCTACCAATATTTCCGCAGAGTCTGCGTATTTTTAGATATTGGCAGAGTCTACCAATGTTTCGGCAGAGTCTGCCAATACTTCGGCACAGTCTATGAAAGACAATTTTGTTATTATGAAAGAAAAAAAATCTAGAATATGTTATTTCAGCAATAAAAAAAATAGTAAGATTATTCTAGCTATTTTTTTTTAAAATAGGTTATTCTAACTAATCTCCCTATAATTAATTAATAACTATAAAACTGTTTTTTCGAATAGAGACAACCGGATAAGATAATAACTATTAAAACATATTTTTTCGAATAGACGCAACACTAAAATGTATTAATAACCATAAAATGGTTTATTCTCGAAAAGACACAACCATATGATGTATTAATAAATATAAAATATTTTTTACCAAGAGATGCAATCATATAAAACATAATAATAATAAACCAGTTTTTTGAAAATATGTAATTTTACATAGACCAATTTTTTCAAAAGACGCAATCCAACGATACATTAATAACTATTAAATGAATTTTTAGAAAATATGCAATTCTAAGATGAATTAATAATAACAAAATAATAACTATTCAGAAATACAACCTTAGAATGCATTAATAACCATAGAACGATTTTTCGAAAAGAAACAACCCTAAGAGACATTGATAACTAAAAATGATTTTTTCCAAAGATACAAACCGAAGAGACTAATAACCATAAAATAATTTTTTTTAGAAGACGAAACCCTATCATTAATAACCTAGAATGTAAGCTATCAAAACATTTTTCGAGAAGATACATCTTTACATAAACTAATTTTTTTCCAAAAAGACGCAATCCTAGGATACTTTAATAATTATAAAACCAAATTTCTCAAAAAAACGCAACCCTAGGATATATTAATAATGACAAAATGATTTTTAGTAAGAAGACGCAATCAAATCATGTATTAATAACTATAAAACAGATTCTTTAGAAAGCCACAATTCTCAAGGACATTGCTAACTATTAAAAAATCTAAAAGACGCAACGCTTAAAGATTAATAACTAAAAATCTTTTTTTTAAAAATCCAATCCTAAGAAATATTAATAACCGTAAAACAATTTTTTTTAAAAGACGCAACCTAAGAGACACTAATAACCATAATTTTTGTTTTTCAAAAATATATAACCCTAAAAGACACTAATAACCATAAAATATTTATTCTGGAAAGACACAACCCTAGCGTTAATAACCATAAAAAAGTTCTTTTTTTAAAGAAGCAACCCTAAAATATATTTTCTAGGATTGCTATTATTGATAGACGTTATCCTTCAAAAAAATTTCTAGAATTATTATTTAAATAAAAAAACAAAATATTGTGAAACTCTAAAATAATTTGTGACTTTTTTATCACATCATGTTTTGAGTAAATTTTAAAGTTAGTAATCATAAATAAAAAAACGTTCAATGAAACAAATATATAGAATTTGAAAAACACAAATCTATATAGCAGTGTTTTTTGAAAAGATGCAATCATAGAGTTAAAAGACCATAAAACATTTTTTTGGAAATGGCGCAATCCTAAAAGATACTAATAACCTTAAATGGAATATTTTGAAAGATGCAACACTAACATTAAAAACCATAAATATATGTCAAACAGTCTTACTTCCAAAAAAATTCAACCCTTGAAAATAACCATATAGTAGTTATACTGAAAATTCACAATTTTTGGAAATCGGTTACTTTTTGGAAAGACACAACCACAAAACTGTTATATTGAAAATGCGCAACCCATGAAAATAATGATAAAGTGATTATATTGAAAAAACGCAATCTTTGAAAATAACCATAAAAAAATTATTTTTGAAAAACAAAACCATAAAGCGGTTATCTACATATTAAATACAACATTTGAAAATAATTAGAAAGCGGTTATATCAAAAAGATGTAACTCTTAGAAATAACAATAAAACAGTTTTTTCCTAAAGGACACAATCTTAAATAACCATAAAATAGTTATATAAAAAAGCAACTTTTAAAAAAGAGGTTATATAAAAAAAAGAAACAACTCTTACAAATAATTATAAAGCGGTTATATTGAATAAACACAATCTTTCAAAATAACCAATAAAATATTTTTCCGGAAAAGATAGCAATTTTTGGAAATAACTATAAAACGGTTATTTTCGAAAGAACAGAACCATAAAACGATTATCTATATAGTAGATGTAACCTTTGGAAATAACCAATATACAGTTATATCAAACAAAAAAAGGTTCTATAAAAAAACGCAACTCTTGGAAATAAGTATTAAACGGTTATTTTAGAAAAGTCACAACTTTAAATAACCATAACGCGGTTATATCGAAAATGCAACTCTTATAAAATCGGTTATATGGTAGAACGCAATCCTTGGCCCACAAAAAAACGTTTTTTCTTCCTCACTCATTTCACGGTTTGGAACCATAGCTATTCGTCTAACCAATAGAACAATTCATGGATTTTTACGCC